TAGGTGATCATGCTATATTGCTATTATGTTAATAATCCTGAAATTGCAGGTGTTCATTGTAATTTATGAGGAGTAGCATTGCTGCTAAAAAAGCTGGAGTTAATTAATAAGTGATGGTGAATGTACATAATGGTCTTATCATTCAGGTGGTTTAATAATGTCTTACTACTATCAATGCTTAAACTTGTAACAGTTGTAAGATGCATCCATTAATGTTAGGTTTCTTGCATTGTAATGATTCCTTGCATCATATACATATGGGTTAGACATGCATTCTAATATATGTGTATCCCACTCCTCAGGCTCAAGAGATGACCAGAGATTACCAGAGAACTTGATGAGCTTCTACAGATGCAGTTGACTTGCATAGTCTTTTACTTTAGCTTTCTTAATGTGCTAATCTCGCTTAATGTGTTAACTTGTTGGCTGGATGCACATACAAACATGCTTTAACATCTTTAAAATTGGGTAGTGTTTTGTTATAAATATCTTGCAGTTACACGTGCTCATATAATTTTTTAAGTTGTTGCATTTCATGCAATATGAAATTCAGTGGATGTTGTTGTACTTTATAGTTTGAGGCCTGAATATACTGATAAATATGACGTCGGTAGCAATCTAACTGACGTTGTATGTATTTTTTAATATAAAAAAAGTGCACTTATTACGACGGTTATAAAGGAAAACTGACGTAGTACATGTGTATATAAATTGGAATTGACGTCGGTTTTGTATAATAACCGACGTGGTATATTTATTTTTTTTCGGGGGAAAAAACTTTTCACGTCGGTTTTAGAACAGACGTAAAATGTTGATATCTATAACGTCTCTTACTTACACGTCACTTACAAAACCGACGTGAAAGGGTGAAATTAACCGACGTGAAATGTCCATTCTCTAGTAGTGTTTCCCCATTGTAAGGACCAGAACATCTCGAGTTCATAAATATAATCGTCTCTCTCTCCTACTTGTTTGCTCTGACTTCTCTCTAGGTTATTCCCGTAATAACCCCTCGGATAAGCTACCCCCGGGTACACTGTCCATCAGATATATTTGATCTATTCACCCCAATATTTCATACAACCTTGGTATTTGAATAGGGGGTGATGGGGGTATGGCAGCCTTGAGTGGGGAATAACCAACCCACCTTTCACTCCAGGAGAGAGAGAAAAAAGAAGAAGAAATGTGTGGGGAGATGGGTAAAAGGGATAAAGCTCAAAAAGGACACTAAGTTTATTTATAAATCTAAAATTGGACGCTAAGCTTTTAAGCGGACCAAGTTAACACATAAATAACTTATTAGAGCTACATTTGGCCACTCAGTAACATTTCTTTTAACTGTCTGTCTTTTAACTGTCATCCTAAAGCTAATAATACTGTATCCCTTTCAATTTGTAGCTACAAATCAAATAAATAGAAATACAATAGTTGCTCCCAAAACCTTAACATCGACACCGGCGTTATTGGTCATCAACATAGTTAAAGTAGAAGGTGAATCTGCTCTTTGAACTTGAAGCATAGGTTGAAAACACCCCTTTTTTCCGCCAGTGGATCTGGTGTCGTGGATAACTGAGTATTGAAGTTTTGGTCAATTATCTTTGCCGCCTTTGGCAGACCTGGAAAAGTTTTCCCCAGAGTTGTTGTTGTACCAGTAGAATAAACCATTGAGATTTTTATGTCTGAGAAAGAACCACGGATTTATAAGTTTATATGTTTGACTAACTAATAGATTAGTGACTAATAATGCATGAAAAAAGTTTATTGTTTTATACTTGTAGTGGTATTGTTCAAATTGGGTGACGTATTGAAATTTATATGGATGGATTGGATATACAGAGAGCAAATGCTGAAGGAATTCCGAAATGGCTAACATATGATGAGATCAGCAAGAGTGCAAGACTAACGAGGAAGTGAAGGGAACAGGAGCAACCGGTGAGCGACCATTGAAGGAAGGTCGAAACCTTCTCCTTCAAGCCTGGAAACTATGTTGGTGATTTTCCTTCGTTGGCAAAAATTGGTGAAACCCTCTCAGCAGACGGACGGACAGACGGCGTTTAATTGAGATGTGAGGGGAATGACCAATAGTTATCTAAATAAGTGAATCATGTGTTAATTTGGTACACTTAAAAGTTAAGTGTCCAATTTGAGATTCGTAAATAACCTTAGTGTCCATTTTGAGCTTTATCCCATGGGTAAAAAGTAGGTGGTAGAGCTAATGATAAAAAATGAATATTTTTAAAAGTGGTATAATTTTTTATTTGTATTCCAATTTTTATAAAAATCATATCATTTTTTTTATGATCTTTCATATGAGATCCATATAGCATACATAAAAGTAATGATTTAATTAAAAAAAAATGTTAGATGAATATATTGACTCTGTTGGATTGCATAGAAAAATTGAATTGACGGAGTGAAAACGTAATTTTGATATTTATGTTAAACAAAATATATTAGGCATTATCTCAATTGCGCATGGCGCGTTACAAAAAATAGTGTTAATTAATATGCGTATAAGTATGATGATAATACCATTAATATGAGTCTAAACCTTAATAACAATAATTATGAAAGGCGACAGAGAATTCCACCAAACGAAGTCCTTAAACCGATGACTTAGTATTTTAACAACACTAATGATTTTGAACAAATGAAAACAATAGGAATTGTAGTATACTATACGGGGTGTTTGTCTATTCAAATTACAAAGCACTATGAATCGACCATTGAGAAAATCAATTACTCAATAAGTTAATCCAGATTGTATTTTAAGTCAATTTATAGTGCATTATGTATATACAGATAGACATTAATCACATTATAGTACACCACTAATCTAGAAATCCCACTCATAGGAGAGTGAAACTAACTACTGTGCGTTTACCAAATGGGAATTGAACGTTTGTTGGCCGGGCCGGGACAAAAATAAATACATTAGGAGAACTTTATCCATATTTTTGAATAGGAGAATGAAAGAATACATGGTGTGAAACATCTACTCATTTAGTCTCATAAATTATGCATATTTTCACTATTAGATTCTTAATGGATAGTGTCATTGTTTTAATCCCAAAGTAAAATCCATCCACTTCTACTTAATTAAAAAAGTTTTGATTATTTTATTGTTTTAATAGGACTAAATTATAAGTACCCTATTTTGGAAGAAAATATGTTTAATCATATTTTAGAATTTTCTAGTTTTGTAGTTTTACATAGTAGTGAAGAAAAACGTCCATTGGCGGATTGGCCATTACATTTTACAGTGTACACATTGTGTAACACCGTGCCACGGGAATTGAAAAAGATGAGGTAAACGAATTAAACTTATAATGTTTTAATTAGATAAGTTTTAGTGTTAAACTTAAATAATATTTTGTAGCAAAATATCCATCACCAAACATCTGCGAACAAGATCAAACCCAACCAAAGCATGCCAAATCATACTACAAAACCTTAGTCCAATTAAAACATCATTATATTATTGAAATGATAAAGCTATGTATGCATATGTTAATTCATACATTTATATTTGCACACATTTGGATGATAAAAAGTTAAGTAACTTTTAACCACACCAATCATATTCATGTCCCACAAAAATGGTCAAATTTGATTTACACGTGAAATAATAAAATAAATATTGCGGAGTTAAGATTTATACAGAGAATAAAGAAATAACTTTAATCACATATTTCTTACTTTAAAAGGATTTGACAACTTTTTTGGGATAATTAAGTAATGAAAATTGGCAAAATTTTATGAGGCATATAGAATAATTCTTCCCAAAATATTTGTTCAGTGAACCCCATATCTATGATACAATTCACTCTTTCAACAAGTATGTGAGCGCATAGTTTATTTTAGTGAAATTTTTAAATATTTCACTCTAAATTTTGTAAATTATCGCCAACATTTTGAATATTTGGGCGGTCCTTTTTAATATTGCTATATTTTTAGATCTGTATGATTATATAATTATGTCATTGATTTACATTAAGTTCATAATTAAAATTGTACTTAAATTTATCTATGCAATAAATACTAATTAAATATTGCTAAAAATATAATATGAAATAAAATCACAATATGCCTATTTGCATATTCTAGGTCTTAATGATTTTTTAATAACATACTTTTCTCTTATATATCCTTTCTTTTCACATAAATACTTGACATTTCTAATTTTCACAAATATGAACAAAAGAGTCTCTCTAAAAATATACTAGTATGTTCTTGTCTTCTTGATTCATTTTCATTATCATTATTTAATAAATGCATGTCATACATAAAACATATGTGGTATCAGGGTATGAATATACCAAAAATGATGTTTATACTCACTCTTATACTCACTTTTGTACCCACCTATGTTTGTGAAGTGTTTTATTTTTGTCTGTAAATCGGGTTCACAGACAAAAAGAACACTTCACAAACATGGTGGGTATAAGGTTGATGAATATATACCTGGTCTTTCTCTTACTAAACACCAATAGAAATCTACCAAAAACATCACAAAGTCTAAATAATTTCTGGGAATCATAAGAGAAAAGGAGGGATCTGCAAAGAAATTTTAGGTGAGTGGGGTAATAAAAATATCAAATAATACATGTATGTCATTATTAAACTATAAAACTATAAGAAAAAACTCTAATATAAAATATGATTTATTTAGTTATATAAAAGAATAACATGATGAAGACTTCCCAAAACAGGGGTGTATTAGTCATATTTTGGGAATAAAACATTTTTTTTTGGAACATTCTTCTAAACATATTATAGTATATGTTCATGTTAATGTTAATATCCTTGATTGGGATATGATTCGAACCTACGACTTCCTTTTTAGTGGATCAAGTGATCAACAGTGATGTCGTGAGATAACAATGTACTTGACATTTTGGGAATAAAACATTGATAATCCTATTTATGAATTTTATCCCAATTTTTGTCTAAATACCAGAATTTGTAACCTATATAATGAATCTACCACATTGGCATGTAGAAATGTAGTACAAAAAGAATTTCTAACACAGAAACAAAATGCTTAAATTTATAGAGATGATACTAGTGGTTATTATTTTATCAAAACCACTTCAAACCTCACTGGCGCAAAAACAGACATTCATCGTTCACATGGCGGGATCGGAAATGCCCCCGGAATTCCTCCATCAAGCTCACTGGTATGACTCCGCTCTCAAATCGGCGTCTGAATCAGCCGAGATGATCTATGTCTACAAAACGGCGGCGCACGGATTCTCCGCCAAGCTCACACAGCAAGAAGCTCTGTTTCTTGAAACTCTGCCCGGCGTCGTCTCTGTTCAGCCGGAGAGAAAGTACCAGCTCCACACCACCAGAACGCCGTCGTTTCTCGGACTGGTTGATTACTTCTTACCCGGATCCGCTGCTGAAAGTGACGTTGTCATCGGAGTAGTCGACACCGGAGTGTGGCCGGAGATGAAGAGCTTCGACGACCGAGGACTGGGTCCGATCCCAACCACGTGGAAAGGCACGTGCGAGACTGGAACCAATTTCACCGCATCGAATTGCAACAGGAAACTGATAGGGGCGAGGTACTTTTCGAAGGGGTACGAGGCAAGTCAGGGGCCGGTCAACGAGACTCTGGAGAGCAAATCTCCCCGGGACGATGACGGCCATGGGACCCACACAGCCTCCACCGCCGGAGGATCGCCGGTTCCGCACGCCGGCCTGTTCGGTTACGCCGCCGGAACTGCTCAGGGCATGGCTAAGAACGCAAGAATTGCAGCCTACAAAGCTTGCTGGAATGAAGGTTGTTTTCCGTCTGATGTATTGGCGGCCATGGAAAGTGCCATCGAAGACGGCGTGGATATTCTTTCCTTATCTCTCGGCGTTGACTCTGTTGACTACTACGATGATGTCATAGCTGTTGCAGCATTCGCGGCCATGGAGAAGGGGATTGTGGTTGTCTGCTCCGCCGGGAACAGCGGCCCTAGTCCATACACTATGTACAACATGGCGCCGTGGATCACCACCATCGGCGCTGGAACTCTAGACCGTGATTTCCCGGCTCCGGTAATTCTCGGTACCGGGAAGAAAGTTCCCGGTGTTTCTCTTTACAATAACAGAGTTGTTCCGTTTCCCGCCAAAAAGATTCCTTTCGTCTATGCCGGGAACGTGAGCAACGCCACGAACGGGAATTTGTGTATTCGAGGAACTTTAGATCCGAGTAAGGTGAACGGAAAAATTGTACTTTGCGACCGGGGATTAAATCCGAGAGTTAAAAAGGGCTATGTTGTAAAAGCCGCCGGAGGGGCCGGGATGGTGTTAGCCAATGCTGCTGAAAATGGAGAAGAGTTAATAGCGGATGCCCATTTACTTCCGGCAACGCTCGTGTCCAAAAAATCTGGAGACCTCATTAAATCATACTTGTTCTCCGATCCTAATCCAACAGCCACAATTTCCTTCAGAGGGACGAAAGTCGGTGTCAAACCGGCACCCGTACTTGCCGCCTTTAGTTCTCGAGGTCCCAATACTGTCACGCCAGAAATACTGAAACCCGACGTGATCGCACCGGGGGTCAGCATTCTTGCAGGATGGAGTGGGACAACCAGCCCAAGTGATTTACCTGAAGACCCCAGGCGTGTCGAATTCAACATAATATCAGGGACATCCATGTCATGTCCACATGTGAGTGGCATAGTAGCTTTGCTTAAAGCGGCGAATCCGGATTGGAGCCCTGCTGCAATCCGATCTGCTCTGATGACCACATCGTATGTAACCTACATGTCGGGTACCCAACTTATAGATGCCGCGACAGGGAAGGAAGCCACACCATATGACTACGGGTCGGGTCACGTGAACCCCATGTCCGCATTAAACCCGGGGCTTGTTTACGACATAGACACAAACGGTTACCTAGACTTCATATGCACCTTGAACTACACTTCCTCCAAAATTTACACACTCACGAGAAGAAACTTCACCTGTGATTCAAGCAAAAAATACAGTGTCACGGATGTCAATTACCCTTCTTTCGCTGTTGTGTTTACAAATAGGACATCTTCTATAAAATACACAAGAACGCTCACTAACGTTGGAGAATCCGATACATACGAAGTCTATGTTTCTCAACCAGATTCAGTCGAAATCTTGGTGGAGCCACAAACTCTGAGCTTTACTGAGATGGGTGAGAAGAAATCATACACTGTGACGTTTAATTCTATGGAAATGGTTGCAGCTGGTCAAAATATGTTTGGGAGAATTGAGTGGTCTAATGAGATACAAATTGTGGCTAGTCCTGTGGCCATTACATGGTCATAGTCGATCTCATACAGCGTGACATATAATAGTATAGGCTCAACTTGGTTTGCGAGAGAATTGTGCCTAGAGTCTATACCTTTAATGAATTAGAGATTGTACTAATAAGCTAAAGTTACGTAACGAGATGCTTTTGTCTTGAAATGAACACACACACATACTATGAATCTATGAATCCCTCACATGTAAGGAGTAGTTGTGGAAATATGCTTAAACTTCGTAGTCATTTACAAAGATAATTGCCTCATTTAATTTGTTTAATTGAATGAGGATGTGGAATCACTATCGAGAAATTTTTATCCGGTTAATCATCGGTGAGTCATTAAATACCGTATAGGGCTGACATTTTGAACTGAAACACCGAAAACCGAATTGTAAATAACTGAACCACATTGAAAATATCAAATCGACCGAACCGATATTTTGAGATCCAAAAACCGGGATCCGAAAAAATATTTGTTCGAAATCGGTTTGTATACACAAAATATCGTTTTGCACCTGAACCGAACCGATTATTATTGTTGTTGGTGTTATTAATAATTGTTATTATTAATAATCATAGCTAATGACGTTTTGTAAAGATATATTACATATTTGAGTGTATGTTGAATGTTTTGGTAGTGTTGGTAAGTTGGTTGTCCATGCCATATTTGTTCGGAAGCCGTCATCGGTTCGAATCCCACCATTGGTCCTTCACTTGACTTTTCTTAGTCAAACAGTCTTGTTTTGTTCACTTAATTAGGATGTCAATTTTTAATTATATTCTAATTTGGAGTTTACAACTTTGAAGAGATTTTAATATAGTTTTTGAATATGTAAATTTTAATTATTAAAAATTGAATTAATTATCCATATGGAGGGTTGACTTTTATTATTGGTTGACCACAAATTGTTGACTTTGCAAAACAAATTGGGACGGAGGGAGTATCACATATCACTATATAGTGGGGATCTGCTCATAGACTAGAGTGTGACTGAGTACGTAGGTCACTTAGTACTCTCATGGAAGAGTAGAGTGGTCCTTCTTGGGCTCAGAGCCGGTCCTAGGGGGAGGGCAGCAGGGGCGACCGCCCTAAGCCCGAAAAAAAGTAGAAAGGAAATTAGGTCCAAATATTTTTCTTTATATGTAATTTGAGTAGGCTTCTTTTTTTATTTATAATTTCAATTAATTAATTAGGATGTTTTCTTTTGGACTGAAATTTACTGGTCTGGTCTGGTCTGGTCTGTTTAAGTCTGATCTGGTCTGTTTAAGTCTGGTCTGGTCTGGTCTGGTCTGGTAAACGTCTGGTCTCTGTGTATTTTATAACTACGGAAGTCTGGTCTGTTTAAGTCTGGTCTGGTCTGGTCTGTTTAAGTCTGGTCTGGTCTGGTCTAAGACTGAAAACAGTCCAAAAGAAAACATCCTTAGGCCTAATGTGTACTTTTTGTTGACAATTTGAAAATTTTAAAACATAAGTAAAAAGTTTTTAACGGAGCTAGACAAGTTTTAAAAAAGAATATAAATTTAGTTTTGATTTGTAAATAGAGTTGGTTGTAAGTCAACACATTTGTGGTTGAATCAATAAAAGCATCTCTCTTCACATTTTTTTAGCCTGTAAGATTTTTTATTCTTTTAATAACAAAATTACCAATTTATATTATTATCTTTGGGCTGTCAGTGCCTCCCATTTCTCAAACATCATCACAATTATATATTATGCCTAAAAAAACTTAATGGATTAGCAATTTTAAACATTGCACATGTGATCTTGGAAAAGATTGATTATAAAGTAATTATTGATGATTTTACTTCACAATGTTCTTTTGTGATATTTATATTGTTACTTTTGTCCAAATATGCAATTCAAATAATATGAAGGTGAAGTTCATCTTTATTTTATAACCTTTATAGATAGTTGTAGAGACAATTCATTAAATATGAGTAAATGTTTTTGAAAATTTCAAAATAAAACTGTCATGTGTTTATTTTCTGAATAAGAGTAATTAATGTCATGTTCGGAAATACTATCATTTGTAAACTATGATGTCGTCAACATATGATAGTAAGTCTATTTTCAGACTATTTTTATACACATTTTAGTCGTATTTAGACTAATTTCTCCTAGTTTTATTATACTCTGTAATTTTTACTTTAAATAATTATTTGTTTTGGAAATAAGGCCAAAATATATAGTATATCGCCCATAGGCCCAAAATTGAACAGGACCGGCCCTACTTGGGCTCAAAATTCTATTGGCAAGTCTAGTGTGCTCAATGCATTGAAAAGTAGTTTAGCATGAACTGACCCGAAAAATGTGTTGCCAACAATTTCATACCTGTTCAATTGGCGGTTTGGTTTCCGTTTGCTAATTTAGATACGGAGTAACTGATATATCGGTTCTGTTCAATGATTGAATCGGTTATTCAATCAGAGTGCTCTTCATGTCAGGCCGGCCTGACGGGCTGCCCCGTCCGGCCGAGCCCGTTTGGGCACTTTCCCAGTGGAATTTTTTGATGAAATTTTTTGAGCATGTTCCTCGTCAAGTCTAGTTTGTCCATACCAAATTTCAACTCAAAATTCGATCGGGAAGGTCGTCAAATGATTTTTGCAAGTTAACTGGTCCGGAAAATACATATTCCGGACCAGTTAACTTGCAAAAATCATTTGACGACCTTCCCGATCGAATTTTGAGCTGCAATTTGGTATGGACAAACTAAACTTGATGAGGAACATGCCCAAAAAATTTCATCAAAAAATTCCACCGGAAAGGTGCCCAAACGGGCTCGGCCGGACGGGGCAGCCCGTCAGGCCGGCCTGACATGAAGTTTTCTCATTCAATCAAGCCTTTTGTACTGTATATGTGTAGTGCCCACATGCAACTTCTTTTTTTACTTTCCTTTTCCCTTTTTCCTTTTGGTTTAAATGAGAATATGATCGTAGGAGAGAAATAAGAATGATTTCTTTTTTATTTAAATGAGAATATGATATTAGGAGAGAAACGAGAATGATTCGGACAGGAGAATGATTCTAAATCATTGGATATGAGAATTGTGCATTTCCTGGAATAGAAATGTGAAATAACGTAGTGTCGTGGTGGCATTTTTGTATATCAAAGTGAGTTTTTTACGGAGTATGTTTTTGCGAAATGAGTATTATCTTCTCCGTGTGAAACTCCTTGAGTGTCAAGGTGCACCATTTTACATCATTCTCATTTAGAAGAGAAAAAACCTTTCTCATTGGACTCTACAAATACATGTATATGCTAATATTTATATATGTATGTAGGATTAGGTTTCAATAATAAAAAAAAACCTTAGTTGAGAAATGAAAATGAATCTCAACCGTTAGACTCGATCATGTTACAGTAAAACAACATCATGGTGCACTTAAATATACAACCTAGCATGGTGACATTTTCGTAAATACTTCTCAATAATTTGTATTATATTTGTCTAGTGCAACATGAAGTTCTTTTAATTTGGTGCAACATTATCAAATTTTAGTGCAACATGAAACAATTGTAGTGCAACCTTATAAACTTTAAATTTTACGGCTACATGAAGCTATTTTTGTGCAACATCATAAATCTAATGACTAAGATTCATTCTCATTTTTGAGATGAAATGTATTTTTCACTTGAACCAATTCAAATATATATATACACATATATATATTGTATGCATATGTATATACTAAGATAAATATAAGAGTGCATCGATGATATTAGTGCCATTAATAATAGTTTAAAAAATTAAACCTTAATAACAATGAAGAAAGCGGACTGATGGAGTTTAATCCAACTACGAGAGCTAAATCTACGAAATGTATAAGAAACGTATGAAAAATATGGAAGTATGTGGCAGCGTGAGGCAGTATACTCTTATTCCGAAGGGTTAATTCTCGATCCCCTAGTACGGTATTTACAAGAAGTATTTATAGACTTTAGGAGTCATTCTTCTAGGAGGAAACTAATACAATAAATGCTATTTAATTACATTCTTGCTCCAATCGAACTCCTATCACGCCTCAGATGTCAAGTGATTATTATCTCCTTGTTCATGAATTCCGGTTGAGTTCTGCCTGCTGCCAAATAGCTATGCTCGAATGATAGCCTGCCACGTAAACCCTAGGAATATCTCGGCCTCACTAGAACTCCGACTAGGCTCGAGGTCTGCTGTGCAGCCCGGCCTTGCTATGGGTTCCTATCGTGGGCTTGATTCCCAATGGGCCCAGCAGCTTATTGAACATTAATCCTGTTTAGGGCTTGATCCTGTTTTATGGGCTAATCCTGTTAATTAGTCTAATCCCTTTTAAGGGTTGATCCCGTTATGGGCTAATCCTGTTAATTAGGTTAATCCCGTTTAAGGGTTAATCCCGTTATGGGCTGAATTATGTAATTGGGCCATGGTCCAAGTCCATGGTACCATCACGGACAGATGGAGAAGTCCACCAAACGAAATCCTTAAACCCAACACTTGATTAACAACACTACTGATTTTGAACAAATATAAATAATAGGAATTGTATTGACACTATATTGGGTGTTTATTGCCTATTCCTATTACAATGCACTATGGATCCATGAAGTAATCCAGATTGAATTTTAAGTCAATTTAGATTGCATTATATATAATATGTATACAGTTAGACAGTATCACATTAATGACATTATAGTACACCACTAATCTATAAATCCCATTCATAGGAAAGTGAAAATGACTACTGTGTGTTTACCAAATGGGCACGTTTGTTGGCTGGGACATAAATAAACGCATTAGAGTATAATGCAGGAATACATTATGTGAAACATGTACTCATTTACTCTCGTAAATTATGCATATTTCTACTATTAGATTCTTCATGGATAGTGTCAAATGTGTCATCGTTTTAATCCCACGTGATGACGTGAACTCCTATTTAATTAGTGTTTAAAAAATAATTTTACTGTTTTAATAAGACTAAGTTAAATAACTACCCTATTTTGGAAGAAAATATGTTTAATCATATTTTAGAAATTTTTCTACATTTTAGTTTTATACTCTTGAAAATCATCCATTGGCCATTACATTTTCGGGTACATATTGTGTAACACTGCCATGACAAAAAGATGAGGTAAACAAATTGAACTTAGAATGCTTTTAATTATATTAGTTTTAGTCATCTGCAAACAAGGTCAGACCAAATCAGAGCATAGTAAAT